TGTGTGGTCATCTGTTCTAGAAAGGCTTCATCCAATTCTTCTGCTTGTCATCCTTTAAATGACATACACAGTTGTGTAAGTACAGTTAGCCCTCCATATTCACAGATTCAAGCAGCCATGGTTTGAAAATATTTTTAAATGCATAAATTCCAAAAACAACCCTTTATTTTGGCATTTTATATAAAGGACATCATTTTACTATGTCATTGTATTTAATGCGACTTGAGCATCCATGGATTTGGGGAACAAAACCTCAATGGATACCAAGACATGTTTTTCTGTCTTGCTTTGCTTTTTTCATTTTCTTTCTTTCTATTTTCTTGGACATTCAGAGAATAATTTTTCCAATCCTCCATAGCCAGCAACACTCACTAGCCATGCACTCCACCCCTGCCCATCATTCCATGGCTGGTGGAGAACACACATGGGGAACTGGAGAGGCATCTGGCTATGCCTACATCACCTGATATAAAATGATAGTATCATCCACTGACACCTCTGGAGGACCATGGAATATCTCAAAAGATAATGTAATCATTCTTCCTCTGGCTGTGCAGACATAACCAGGCACTTTCCAGTACCTACTTTCCCAGGGTCCTGCTCTCCACAAGTCAGGGAATTGGGATGTGGGAGTTGTATCAGCTAAGCAGTGACCCTGGATGTTGCTGAAGGTACAGATGTAGCCTAGCTCTACAGGTGGAGCTATTGCACTACACTGTGGCCTACAAATGTCCAGCATATGCCTGTGTATGCCACTAATAGAATTTTGCCATCATTTTTGTGCCAATTAAATGTTAATTAAAAAGTCTCAAAGTGTAGCCACAAAAAGATCTGCACTTGGACAATGAGTCCAATGTTGGTGCAAAGCATATATTGACTCACTCCTAGTGTTAAAGTATCTATGATATCTATATATCAGCAGAGTTGATGAGACAGACTTATTCATACAGACTGCAGGCTGTATCATCAAGAATTGCTGACAGAGTATAGTAACCCAAGACTATATGCCCTTTTGGATATTCTAATGCAGAGGCAGGGAATGGTGGGCTCACAGGGTTGCAATTCCTATCAGGTGCTAGACAGCAATGCCAATGATAAGGAATGATAGGAATTGTAACAAAATATATCTTGAAGTCACACATTCTTCATCCCTGTTCTACTGTATGCAAGAGGTAGGGTTGAATGTTGTAACATCTCTTATTAGTAACAAGGAGGGATCAATCGTTCAAATGATTGGCATTCATTGCTGCTCCCACTATTCACTGAGAGAGAACCCTCCACAGAAACAGATAGTATAAGAATTAAGTATACATTGGAGTGGAATTTGATGACATAGTTCCTTCTTACAGAAAGCCGGAAAGGGTTGCAGGAACAATACATGGCTACTGAAAACTCACTTGTTCAGATATAACTGACCCAGTTCTATTGATCCAAAAGAAATGTATTTAGCACGCATCCTAAGGCAAGTCACAATTCTGTTCTTGGCTGAACTATAGCCACTTGTAACATGGGGTGATAGTGCTTACTAAATTTATTTAATAACCGTAATAAATAAATAAATAAATATGGATGGTTGTGAGCTAGTGTAGTATAGTGGTTTGAGCATTGGACTATTATTCCAAAGGCCAGAATATGTTTAAATCCCTGCTCAATCATGGAAACCCACTGGGTGCGCTTGGGAAAGTCACACTCTCCCAATCTTAGAGGAAGGCAAGGCAAGACCCCTCTGGAATCTTGTCAAGAATGTGATAGGTTAACCATAAATCAGAAATTACTTGAAGGCACACAACAGAAGAGCACAAAATAATGGGGAGGAGTAGGAGGTCTGAAGAAACACAGAACAAATTGAGAGGTTGTGAAAGAGCATAATGTGATGGGGACTGGAAATGGTCATAATGAAAAACAAACATCCTCAGTAGCCATGTATTGTTCAAAGCAGCAATGGAAAATTAGGGTGAGGTACATAATCATGGAATGGAATATTCTGAGAAAATATATGGCTTGGTGGCTAGAACTCTGAAAAGGAGTACCTTTACATCTTGTTACAGATCCCACTCTAAACTAATATTAAGCAGTTATACCTGACTGCTCAGGTAGATGCACCAGTGAATGGAGGCAAATATAGCATTTATATTTAGTGCTGAAAGGAGCAAGACAATGTCCATGAGACATGTTAGGAAGCATTAATTTCATGCCTTGCTTTAAAATAATCCAGATGGGATTGTTGTGTGGGAGGCAACAGGGGGAGGGAGCAAGACTCTTCAAGGTGGGAAAGGTCAAAGTTGCCATGTTTTAAGAATGTTGGGATCTTTAAGTCTTGTTCAGTCACTTGTCAAGAACAAATGATACTTCAAATAATCAGGAGGCTTCGCTACAAAAAATGCAGTTGAACTATGGAGGTAATTACCGGTATCAGTGGCCCGGTTTGCAGTTTTTTCTATATTAGAAGAGGACAGGTAGGTTCAAATAAATTTAGATGCACACTTAGATGCTGTTTAAGGACAAGTGGAAAATATATCAGTGAGAACAAGGAAGCCTTGAAAACCTACTACCTGTGCCACTTTTTTTTTTAAAAAAAAATCCAAAACATTGTCATTCATGTTTTAAAAATTAGACTAGCTATGTGGAACTTGTGATAAATCAAGCCAAAACACAACAGCCTACCAGCTGTATGTTCCTTTTATCCAAGTTACATGAAAAAAAAAAAAAGCCTCACTTATGCACACACATGCCACTGTCAAGAGGCCAGCTTTCCATCACTGTTCCTGTACAACTGATATTCAGAGGCCTCATGATGGAAAGAAACCTCTCCCTGGCATCCTGCCAGTGGCTTGTGTGTGGATAAGTGAGGCTTACACATTTGCATGTCTCTTTTTGGATGTGGCCATAGGGTGCTATTCACTCCCATTTGGACTCCATCCCTAAAATTCCTCTGGCAACTGTCCATCCCCTGGAAGACTGCTCCTGCTTTTTACTGGTGGTGAGGGAGGGACGGGGAGATAATTCAATCCATAAAGATACAGCTTCTCTGGTCTTGCAGGGGAAGGAAAAGAACTATGATCTCCATCCATGTTGTCGTTGTGTTCCTTCAAATCATTTCTGACTTATGGGTGACATTAAGGCAACCCTATCATGGGGATTTCATGGCAAAAATTTGTTCAGATGAGGTTTGCCATTGCCATCTGAAGATGAGAGCATGTGCCTTCTCCAAGGTTACCAAGTGGATTTCATGGCTGAGTGAGAAATTGAACCCTGGTCTCCAAAGTTGTAGTCCAACAGTCAAACCACTGCACCATACATGACTCTCCCAATCTCCCTATCACCACCAAGCTGAAGCCAGCTACTGCTTCATAGAACCATAAAATCTTAGAGTTGGGGCCACAAGAGCTATATAGTCTAGCCCCCTGTCATATAAGAATATACAACAAAAGCACTCCCGACAAATTACCATCCTACCAATTTACATATCTCCAAAGAGGGATAGTCTAGCACATATTGTGGCAGACTTTTCCACTGTTGAACAGTTCATAGACCAATTAATTTGTCCTCAGATGGATTTTTTTTGTAACTTGAATCCATTAATTCAAGTTTTACTCTCTGCAGCAGCAGAAAACAAGCTCACTCCATCTTCTATGTGAGATCTGTTCAGATATTAAATTCAGATATGACCTGATTTGTCTTCCCCTCTCTCTTTTCTCCATCCATAAGCAGCAATGGCAGCCCTCCTGGGGTTTGATAGCAGTCAAGAGGAGGGTATGAGGCAAAACACAGATGCACAAATTTGGTCACAGTTTGTAAACCCACCTGTTTTGTAATCACAGACAGTGAAAAGTCATGGTCCACTAAGCATAATAGCAGTGGTGTAGTAGTACATTGAGAAATAGCAGTCACACCTCATAATAGTCCCCACAATAGGCATGACCACAAGAATAGAAAAACACCTGGATGGTCCTTGTGGTCTCTTCCAGCTCTATGATTCTATGAGAGGCAAGTTCTGGATCGACAACTATTCTAGTTGTTTCTTTCTTCATCAGGACTAGTGCCAGAGGTGACTTCCATGGAAGTAAAGTGATGAATCAACTCTGGGTTTTAGTCTCAACTTTAAAGGTGTGTCTTAATGTGCTGAAACCTATCCTACAAATAGGTTTGATATCTTGGACAGTGGGCATACTGCCACACTAACATAGAAGACATTAGTCACCACAGACTGACTGACTGAGTAGGTCTTTTGTAAAGCTAATAGATTTTAATTGTTCATTCAAAGCCCTTTTTATATCAGAACAAGGATAGCTCTCAGTGGTATATTGCTATAGGAAAAACCTGTTCCTCCCCACAGCTCTGTGAGGAGTTCTGCTAGTACAATATACAACAGAATCCTATTGGTGGCACACTATCTAATACTGGCAATAGAAGGCTAACTGTAGCTGCAAGCTAACATCTCCTCAGCATAGTGTAGATATTCACACATGAAGATATGCAATGTCAGCATTACATGACCTCCATTCAGAATAACAATATTGTGCCACACATGTTGATAAATGGATGACATGTAATGCACAAGAAACAGTGTGAAACACAATGCAATGTGCAATGTGCAACCACAATGCACAGTGTACAACTACAACATGCAACATTGCTGATTATGCAACGCTACTTCTGCTACTGTCAGTAGAACACATCTGTTGCCTTAAGGGAATAATTTGTCCCACATGGGTTGCACAATTTAGGCAAGCATATATCACTGCCAGGGTGCTGGCCAATATGTGTTAGCTTCAAGCAGCCTATTTTGCCAATGCCTTACTCCCTTAGCAGACCATGATATCTGTAGAAATCATCTCCAGCACCACATTTCAAATTAGCTGATTTTCTTCCTGTCAGTATTTTTCCCTGTCCAGCTTTCACAATTATACACAGAACCTAAATGCACTGTATGATTCTGACTTTGGCATTTAAAGATATGTCTATATACTTGAGGATTGTACCTAGGTGTTTGTTTGTTTTTCATGGTTGCCTTACTTGCTTTTAGTCTTATTCTGATTTCTTGACCACATTCTCCATTTTGGCTAATGAATGAGCCAAGGCACAGGGAAAATTTAATTTCACTATCTTTCTTGCCCAGTGTAACGTTGCATAAATAATCTGTGGTAATTTCTTCCTCTTCTCAATATTAATCTGTAATCCTGGTTTTGTACTTTGTCCTTTAACTTTCCTCATTAGTTGTTCCAAGTCTTTGCTTTCTGCAAGTAATGTCCTCCTCATATCTTAAATTCTTGATGTTCCTTTCCCCAATTTTCAAGCCTGCTTCCTCTGAGTTCAGTCCTGCATTCTGTATATGTTCTGCATAAAATTGAATAGATAGGATGGTAAAATGCAGCTTTGCCTTATCCCCTTGTCAATGGGAAACTATTCTGCTTCTTCCTATTGTGTCCTTCCAGTAGCCCCTTATCCAAATTATAGACAATCAAATAGCCCCTTATCCATATCAAGACAATCAAATGTTGTAGCACTCCTGTTTTTTGTTTGTTTGTTTGTTTGTTTTAGAGTGAACAGTCTTATCATTCAGCCAGTTCTCACTGGTTCAGCTGAACTGACTGTTAAAAGACATGAAGTTAAAGGGGTATCCATGCATAGCAAAAGGAAGTAGGAAAAAGAGATCAGAATAGAGGAGGAGGAAGGATAGGCAAAAGGACAGAGGGAGGGAAAGTGTTATCCTCCAGAGCCACAGGGGAGAGATGGGGATGGGAACCAGTTGTTGATTAACAACACTGAAAGTGAGCCATCATTTTTCATGATATATACTAAGCTTTGCTGTAATCTATAAAGGCTTTCCTGTGATCAGTGCAAAGGCAAAGGCTTTGCTTTAGTCTATAATCTACAGGCTGATTTTCTTCTGAAATTCTATTATATTTATACTTTGCTTCCTCTCCATTTTTGGGACTCCAGGTGGCTTGCAAGAGTTGAAACAAGTGTAGCTAAATATGCAAGACATACTAGCTAAAATGTAATTAAACTATCAAATTTAAAACCAGTTAAATATACAAACCATTAAAAAAACAGACAATCCAGCACATTCTGCAAGGCCAATTGTCCCTCAGCAAACAGTCTTCAAAAGCAGCTTTGAAATATTGGCAGCTTTCTTTTGGCTTTGGTTAGGAAAAAATGAGACTTTAAAATGTTAGATGTGAGAAAAGGCAAGATGGACAGATTCATCCATTCATACTCAGAACTGAAATGAAGAGGTGTGTGGTCATGGGAGCATGGGAGCTTGGGTTACAGCTAAATCCAACATTACTCTCACAGTTGCAACTGAACTTTATTCCCCTGTGCTCCCACCTGTAGCTCTCCATGGCATAGAAAATGAGCACTGGATTTCTTTGGCTTTCAGATATGGTTTGGAAGTATAAGGGAGATGTAAGAGGAAGGTAGGTTATGGCCCAGTTCTACTAGATTCTGCTTTTCCACCATAGACACACAGTATTATAGAGATGGAAGGAACCCCAAGGGCTATCTAGCTAATGGAAGAATCCATAGCTAAAGCATTCCTTAGAAATGGCCACCCAACCTCTGTTTTAAAATCTCCACTGAGACTGCATCCTCAGTGAAGAAATAACCAAGGATGACACTACTGTAACTGCTATGGCTCAATGCTATGAAA